GAGTGATGCTTCAGCTGGCTATAGTGCACTGTAGTGGACGTGCTCCTCAGTCAAGGGGCCTGGATTCGCGGTTGAAGTCGGTTGTCTTGCTGAAAGCATTTTTTTTTTTTTTACGGCTGACTGCAGGCTGCTGTAGCTGGAACTCTCTGTGAATCTGAAGCCGTGTTGCAGACGATCTGCGCTCGCTGATGAACCTGTCAGCAATACTGCAGTGCACCTCGGAAGCTGCTCTGAAGCTGCTCTGAAGCACTGACAATGGGATCACGCTACTATCTTGAAGCCGCACTCTTTCTAAACGCGCATTTGGAGCTGTTGGTGTTCCGGAAGCTGGCCATGGTGCTGAGTCACTCTCAGAACCAGACCTCTTGTTCTGATGGAACTGTCCTCGGGTCTGAATCACACTCGGCAGAATCTCATGTACCATGGAACTGTCCTCGGGTCTGAATTTGACTCCCCTGAACAGAATCATGTGCACTGCAGAAGCTCTCCTTGGTTCTGAATCACACTCTCTGCAGAATCAAGTGTATTGGTGGAGCTGACCTTGGTCCTGAATTCAACCCACTCAGCAGGACCGCTCTCTGACGGTACTGTCCTTGGTCCTGAATTGCACTCAGCATAATCAAACTTACCATGTGACTTTCCTTGGTCCTGAATTCCATCCTCTAATCCAGGGGTGGGCAGTCTTATCCGCAAAGGGCCGCTGTGTATGCAGATTTTCGCTGCAATTTCCTAACTAGATTACTAATTAGAGGACTGAATGGCTGAAGAGTCCTCACACCTGGGTTTAAACAGCTGACCTAAAGCTTATCCTGAAAACCTGCATACACACCGGCCCTTTGCGGAAAAGATTGCCCACCACTGCTCTAAACAGCTCTGTAAATCCTACTAGATGTATCCATGGCGCTGAATTACTCAGTAGAGCCGTGTATTCTGAAGCAGCTATCCATGGTCCTGAATCATACTCTCAGTAGTCACGTGTGCTGACTGATCTGTCCATATCCCTGAACTGAATCCTCTCCTCTGGCCTGCATGCTCTTTGGAAGTGTTTCCGTTTGAAAATGGCGCACACACTGCAGAACTGCACATACTAGTGAAACTGTCCCTGGTTCTGTATCACACGCTTTCAGCAGCTTCTCTCGTGCTGGAGCTCTCTGTGAGCCTGAATGCTGTCAACGGGAGGCGAGTCGATAACACCTAAGAGGAGAATGACGGGCGGAAATGACGTGTCCGTCTTTTTTTGTAATTTGCGTAGTCTCTCTGCTCCGTCAATGCTGCTTAAAGAGTTTGCCATTCAATGAGGGCAGAAACGACCCCCCCTTAATATGTAGAATGTCAGAGTAAGAGCAGCAGCACACGTGGTCTGTGTGCTGCTCCTTTTTGTAGGCGTGTGAGTGAAGGAACTGGTTTATTTGTGGGTGTATAACAGAAAGACCCCACACTCACTCGCCCCCAGTTCTGTAGCTACGTTATAAATGATAAAATGTGTCTCTCGGGTAGCTGGGGGCAGAAAGAAGACCCGGCCAGGCCCTACTGGATACCATCCCACGCTGCTAAAAATGATAAGCTGCTAGAAGATTAAAGCCGTCCATTAAATAAGGTGGGGAGATCCCCGCTCGCCCCTTCCTACGTCAAATCCTCGGCTGGGGAATGCTAATTAATGCTTCTGTTTTGGGTTTTTTTTTTTTTTTTTTTTTTTTTTTTTCAAATTAGCAATTTGAAATGTTAGACACAGAGCATTGTGTTACCTGTGGCGCATAGGAATGAGCCCCTTGCAGCTCTCTCCTTGAGTGTGGGATCCCTGGGAGTCCTTGAAGCAGAGTGGCTTCACCTGATGTGGGATCTCGACGCCGGCCACCGGCCCCGTGTCCCGAATCCGGCCAGGACGGGTGCTGCTCACCGAGTCCGGGGTGGAATTCTTCTAATGAGGTTTTGTTCTCAGTGGTACAAGCACCGGGGCAGCTGCTTCCCTGTTGTTTTTATTATTATCGTCGTTATTATTATTATCAGCATCTCAAGCGACCTTTTTTCCCCATGTCTGATGCCGACTATTTAATGTTCTGACGTAGAACTGCTTTGCGTTCCCGAAGTTGCCGGTATTTATTTGCATGATGGAAAGCAGAATTTATCGCTTATCGTATTTAAATAGCGTCGGAACCCCGTGGCACGCCTGTGAACATTGTGCTGGTTCCGTTAGTTTTGTCTCTGTCACCGGTGGATGTTGAGGTATCTAAGAAACCCATTCATTCTTTTGCGTAGTTTCGCCTCATGGAACATTTCTTTTGTGCTTAATTTGCAAACCAGCTACTGTGCGCCTTGGTAAGCATCTGCTGTTTGAAAGATTTTCTGAAAGAGTCGCACTTTAGAGGTTATTAATTTTTATAACTGCTTGGTCCCTTTAGAATTGAGTTCATAAATAACGGAAGAGAGAAGAGTCAAACGAGATGAAGCATTTGCCATGTAGATAATTTAACGCTGTGATATTTTTATATATTAGACAATTAAAATTAGCGGTGGTATTGTGTGTGGTGTGACAGAGTGACAGCATAGCTTTGCTTCGCCAGACAATGGGTTCTGAGCTGAGAGGTATCTCAGTCTCTATAAAAAGACGCTCCGTTTGTCGGAGGAGTTTGGCGATAAAGAGAGACTCCACTTGCGTCAGCTCTGACAGGACTCTGCAGGTTTACACTCTTGCTCGTCGCTAACGTTGTGATGGATGGAGTCGTTAGGGAGCTGCGCACCCAGCATGCATCTGCTTGCCTTTTGACACCTGGGCTTGATTTGCCGGTAGTATTTTTTTGAGCTTTGCTGATCTGCCTTGATTGACACGTTAACAGAGCCAATAACCTGCCAAGAGGGCACATACAGGTGACCAAAGTGGGCGGGATGCGAGGGTTAAATACGATTGGTCACTGATCCCTATAGTTAAAGCTGTATTAGGAAGCCCCTCTACTTCAGCTGCTGTTTTATATAACCAAACGAGGTATTACCAGCCTTGTGGAGAAGCCCATCAAATAGCAGCAGTGAACATCTGTTGTTTATGCCGAACGCGGTGGTGGCATCCCGTTAGAGGCGATTCCTCTCCATTATCCTCCCTCTATTCCTGGCACTTTGTTGTGCTGGCTGGTCTCCTGGGGGGGGACTTTGCTGTTGCCAGCTAAAATACTGTTGTTGTTGTTCTTGGTGGTTGTAAATAATGACGGGGGGCCCCTCGTACGTTGTTTCCTCCCCCCTCCCCCATTGTTCGTTAAGCAGCGTGCCGTAAACATCTCATTATCATATCAGTCACCCCCCTTACTTTGCTGGGAAATGTGCGAACGCCGCTAAATAAAGAGCTGTGCCATCGCCGCCTGGGGGGGGGGGCATCTCCTGGACGCAGGAAGCAGGCAGTGAAAGGCGGCCGTAGCTACGCCTTGCCCTTAGGGGGCGCTGTCTCCTCCGATTGCCGGCGCGTGCCGCAGGTCAGACGGCTACCCCACGTGGGGGCAGACGCTGGCGTGAGGATGTGGAAGAGGAACTGATCTTTGGGCGTCTGTATCTCTGTGAGCACCACTCACACTTGTCTGTAATGATAAGTGGAGGACAACAGCGAATAATGATGAATGTGCAGAAGATAGCAGCGGTTTAGCTACGATTTAAAATGCACATGGCATAAAGGACCCCCCATCCCCTGACACTTTCACACAGTCTGTAGGCTAAGGGTTTGTCCCTTTGATTCAAGGAGCTGTTCAGCCTTATCAAGCCTAGCTTCAGGTGGAGTTTGTGTCTGTGTGTGTGTGTGTTTGTTGTCTCTCTGTATCTGTGTCAGCCTGTGAGATTGTTGCCATGGGCAGCACCCTGCCCCCCCCCCGCCCAACCCCCCCCCCCCCCAATTGCATCCGCCAGGGAATTGTTTGCTGGGGTTAACCAGCTGAGCCCCCCCCCCCCCCCCCCCCCCCCCCCCCCCCCCCCCCCCCCCCCCCCC